AAAACTAATAAGTGTTAATACCACCTTTTTATAAAATAGGTTTCTATTTATTTTGTAGGGCCATAAATAAATCAAAAAGTAAATTAGAAAAATTAATATCATGGACATCTAAAAGTAGAAGTAAATAATAGCTTCTAGCAAAAATCACCTAGAAAAATTAGATATTAATATCCAAAGAGGACCAATTATGAACTTGGATCAAAATTAGACCTTCAGGCACAAAACCACGTCTTTACAACAAATCTCACATTTTTATTTATTTATTTCTTTATTTTTAATTAAAGAATAAGTTTAGAAAAAAAAAAAAAAAAAAAACTTGTTGGAATTATGTTAAGGATTAATTTCTAGCGATTTGTATAAAAATTGAATTTTTTTTAGAGCTTTTCAAAGTGAGAGTTGTTTTATGTGGTTTGAATTTTTGAGAAATAAAAGAAAAACTATATATTTGACATTTTTATGAGTATTCTAGTATATTGTCAAGTGAAAATTTGTGAACTTGTGCATGTATTTGTCTTGAATTTTTTTTTGTATACTTGAAGTCATTCTAATAGTTAGATCAAAGGCTATTATAATCTAACTGGATTAGAGATTCGGAATTTGGATTTCAAGGGTCAATAAGGGTTTCTTTGATCATGAGTTATTTGTTGGTTGGATTTAAGCAAAGTTTTGTAAGAAGTTTGTGAAGTTAGTTTTCAACAATTTTGTCAAATTTTTGTGCAAATAAATGGTTCAATAAGGAGTTATTGCTAGTAGAAGATCAACATCAAGGTTGGAGAAACATGATGGCCAATACTTCAATAATTAGGTAGTTTTTTTTTTTTTTTTTTTTTTTTTTTTTCTCAATTGAAATATTAGATTCTTTTTAAAATTTTAAAATTTGTTTTCAACTATTAGATTGCAATAAGTGTAAAATATTAAGCAAGATCAATGATTTAATCACCAATAATTAAGGTTTTTAGACTATCCTAGGATTGGTTAAGATTAGTTAGGTTCTGATTAGGATTTTATTAGACTTTATAGGATATCTTTAAGGTTTTATTAGTATTTGATTATAACTTGATTAGAATATTTCTAAAGTTTACTTAAATTTTTTTTAGAATTTGTTTATAACTTCTTTAGAGTTTCTTTTTAAAAGTTTCTTTGAAGTCTATTTAATTTTTATTTTATTTTATTTTAAAACAAAATTCTTTAGGATTTTTTTTGAAGGATTATTTTATAACTTATTTGAGAATTCTTTAGGATTTCTTTAGGATTTCTTTTATTTTTCTTTATGATTTCTTTTATGTTTTTTTATGAATTATCTAATGATTATTTTAGAATTTTAAAAATATTCTTAAGAATTTAATTAAAATTTTCCTATAATTTAATTTATTATTATTATTATTATTATTATTATTTTTAGAATTTAAAAATATTTTTAGGTTCTTTGTTTGTTACAAATAAATTTATCTTATACAACCAAATGCCCAATGCATTTCTAGGCTTATTTTTACATAACACAACAATGGTCCTTGTCAAATTGGAGAAGACAATGTACGTGAGATATGACATTCAACTAATTTCTTATTGCTAAATGAAAAATTGGAACATGTAATTGTGTTACGAATGTTATAATGTATGTCAAAAATCAAATTAATTTGATTAAATCATTATTTATTAATAAATATAATAAAATCAAGTCAAATATACCAAAATTAATTTTAAATATATTTAAAAATTTACCAATAAGATAATATTTTTTTACCAATAAAGATATTATGCATATTTTAAATAAAAAGAATTAAACCTAAGAATTCAGTTTTTATGTTCTTAAAAAAAAAACAAAAACAAAAAACCAAAAAAAACTTCACAAAAATCTCTAACATCTTCTTCTGTCTACAAAGATACAAAGATACAAAGTGTAATAAATATAGAAAACTGATAAAATTTACTTCTAAAATATTTTCATTTAACTTTAGTAATTAGAAATATTGCATGATTGGAAATTTTTCAAATACAAATGTTTTTTTAGATATGTTCTAATATATATTTTTGTAACTGATAAATATTTTTATATGGTTTTCGTAAAACTTTGTCAAAGTAGAAAAAAAAAAAATTTTGGTCCTTTCACAAATTACCTCTACTAGCACACTCATAAGAATAAGATGCATAATATATGTAACATTGAAATCAAAAACCAAGATCTGAGATCTTCAAAATCCTAAGAATTTATCTTTTTAAAATCATTCATAATTGGCTCTAAGATGCCTAGTTTTAAAACATTTAATTTATAATCTGAGTACTTGTTTTGGAAAAAAAAACAAAAAACAAACCAAATCAAATTTATTTATTTTTACTTTTCTTTTCTTTTTCTTCTCCCCCCCCCTTTTTTTGTTATATTTATAGAGTAAATGAGAGGTTTTAAGATTCCATACCAAATAACATTTTAATTTTCTTTTTAATCCTCTTGAAAATTTTCTTAACTAATTTTTCAATGTGCCACAAAAAGACTTGATATTATTATTGGCATGTTGATTTGCATGAGATAGATGTTACAATACTACAAACTATAAATTTACAATAAGACAAAACAAATCCAACTAAATCATTCAAATTTAAAATTAACCATCTAACTTTGATAATATTAATGTAATAAGAAAAAAAATTAAGATTTCATTTAAATACATAAATTTCTAAAATTATAAATTTATAAATGATAGAGTTTATGTATGGTTGTAATGTTAATTTGTTTTTGATAAATCTAAATACTAAAAGTCTTCAATGAAGATGTGTTATTTAATAAGTTCAAAAAATAACCACACAATATAATTAATAATAAAAAAATGAGTTGAATAAAATTTAATAAGTTCGTAATTAATACATTAATTTTTAATTTTTAAATAAAATTAATTTCATTCAAAAATTATAGATGGAAGTAGTTTACTCCACTAATAAATAGATATAATGTCAATTAATAAATTACAAATTAAGAAAGACATTTTTTTCTTCATAAATTTTAAATGATTATCATCATTTTAGTAACTTTTGGTCCATACATGTGATAATACATAAATGATTTAAAAATTAAAAATTAATCAAAGCAACATGCCTTTTAATTTTATGCAATCATTAATCATTTATTTTTTTGATGCTAAAACATAAAATATAATAAAATGGTTATAATTTGAGGCTTTATCTTATTAAATTATCATATAATCTTAGAGTTGTAATACATTAATTTATAATATTATTTATTTAAATAAAAAATAATAAACTAGTAAAAAAAAGAAAAAAAAAAGAAAAAAATTAAATATAGCTGATTCTATTTAAAAAAAGAATCACATTGTATTTAAATAAAGTTTTCTTATCTAAGATTCAATAGTTAAATAAATTTTTTCATAGCCAAGTAAAATTTGGACCATATAATTTATATTTTTTTATTCATCAATATGATCTTAAAATAAGTTTTTCAAATATCTTAGTATAATATAAATTTTAAATTCCTTTGTATGATATATATCTTAATATGAAATCACAAAACCTACAAACTATGGAAGCTATATTTATTAGAAGAAGACCTATAAGACTTTATTCATTTGTTAAGAGGTAGCAAGGTAGTATTTCTTTATGCAAGGGCACAAGGGTATTGTACATGGCCTCCTAAGAGTGAGAAAGATCACAACTTTTAAGCAATTACACTCACACATCATAGTCGTTGGATTTTAGATTTTTTTAGATTTGTTTTTATATTTAGAAAACCCATGAGACAACATCATCTAAATAACATTATTCATTTGCAAGAAACAATCTATAGCATACAAATGTTTTCAATAAGAGTCTTGCTTCTTTGCAAATATACACTACTACTATTTTTTCTTATTTCATTTTTATTTTAAAAAGACAACAAGAGTCCTACTTTGTTAGAATGTCTCTACAAAAAAATTGCCAATGCACACAATAAAATAGCCCTGGGAATTTAAATGATGCATATAAATCTATGAGACAAAAAGTTGAATAAGAAGAGAAAGTAATTCTAAAGTTAACATATCTCTACATAACTAACAAAATATGATAATGAAGTTTATAAGGGATATTGATGATACAAACGAGTGTTAGACAATGCAACTTTATAACATGGGTGTTTACATCAAGAGCCTCAAAGGGGCTATGAAGCACAAATCAAATACAACATATTCAACAAAAAACATATTAGAATAGGTAAAAACCAACACATAAATAATCATTAATGAAAAGAATAGTAAGCTATGGTAAAAAAGTAAGTAACATATTTCAAATGTTCTAAGGATAGACATGCAATAAAAATAGTATCTAAATAGTAGTATATATGTTAGGACCCAATATCTAATTGGAGCTTTAAGTTGACATTCTAGGCTATCTCCAAAATATACAACTACCCAATTTTAGGATGGACTAATACTTTGGGAGCAATCCAACAATTAATTGCTTGTCATTGAGCTACTCACAAAAGTTGAGGTAACTACAAACCAGCCATCCATATTGACATGCATAGATGAGAAGCAAGTGAAGTAAAACAAATCAAAGTACAACTTGGGCACATGTTTTGCAAAATTGCACAAGTAATGCACACAAGAAATTTTGCTATTACAAGTTTCCAATACCAAACTTTTATTTTAAGAATTTTTTAAAATTATGTTTTAGATATGTAAATTATTTTATAAAAAAAATTAAAGCTTAATCCTTATACCATACAACCCCCCAGAATGATAATTATTTGACAGATAGTGTTCACAAGTCATCTTTCTTCAAAAATACTCCACACCGTAATAAGTAATAAAATTATTTTTTTAGAGTTACTGCGTTGAAAATTTGGAATCGTTGAAAATATCTATAAAACATTCGCAATAATTATTAGCCACGGATGTATTTCTCCCCTCCCCATCGTTCACATGAGCCCTTCGTTAGATGAGAGATACAAATACAAAATCTGACAAGGAGCATATTAAAAGGGTAAATCAAAATCAAGTAACCAAACACGGAAGTTTTTCGTCTGTAAAGTCTTTCATAGCTGTAAAATAACGTCTTTCAAGGGCTTTCTGGAAGTGGAGTGTCATCAACCTATTTACAGATCGCCTACCATATTCACATCTTGCAATAGCAGATTCTCCACTTCCAAGCGCCGGCTTCTTTCATTTGTACAATTTTGTCAGCTGGGCGGAGGGCTAGAGAAAATGCATCACCGCTCTTGACGGAATACATACATATGTTGAAATCAGTGTGCAAAATTTCAGCTCCCCAGAGTATTAAAGCTATATAACCTAGTTTCAACCCCAGATAGAATGTAAAAGGATAATCTTCGGACTTAAACTAGCTGTAAGTTAAGTTTCACAAATCATAATTCCAACTCCATACTCCGAAGTTTCCATGTACAACCTATTCACAGGCCAACTTCGTATCAAAGCTGCTCAAACAGATCGCGAAGGCTTGAAAAGCACTCAAAGGATATCGGTAGTCCATTGTAAATATGTCCTTCCCAATCTTCCCGAACTGTAGCAGCACCTTATCACGATCACTCTGTGAGCTTGTCGGTAGCGATTCCATTGAGGCCACCAACTGAAAGTTCTTCACTGATGCCACAGTCACCCTGCCACGGAAGTTCAGACACCAACACTGCAGCTGTTCATGCCAGCGAGGAGCTTTGTTCTTCAGTACTAAAGGCTCGTCCTTGGCCAAAAGACCACTCGCAAAATCGTAATCCAATGTGCTAATGTCAACTACAGCAGCTTTCGATCTCGAAGACGACATTACGCCGGAGTGCGGAACGTGCGCACGTTCCAGAGAGTCCGCAGTGACTTCTGTAGGAGAAGGAGCACTGCCTACTGATTCCATTGTAGACAAAGGGATCCCATGCAAAGTGCATTGCATTCGTCTTGGACCTCGTGTGCCCAGGACATTCAACTCATAAGCAATATGTGCTACATTGAAGCTACCAGCGTGAGCGCGGTATGACAACTGCTTTGATGTAAGGCGGCGGCTACTGCGGTTAGATAATACTGGCCCATTTTGGGGAGGCTGACTATCATAGATTGTGAACTTTGTACCCAAAAAATTTGATCTGCACGGACACATTGCAAACAGTTAGTTGCCCCATGGAACTCTCTAGTAAACAACAATAATACAGAACGCTTGCAGCGGTCAGATCCGCCCAAAGTTGCACAAGTTTCGTAACACAAAGAAATCCTGTCAAAAGTAGACATGGTAGAAAATACCTCAATTTTCCAACATATGTACTACTTCCTCTTGACATATCTTCTTGGTTGAGGGAAATAATGTAATCGGTGCTGGTCGCCCGCCGAAATTTTTGAGCAGCTAATAGAAATTTCCCGTTCTCTTGAGCTGTGTAAATCAATGAACCAACACAATCGACGAACAGATGTGGTCACTTTCACTGGATAAATCTCAAAAACTGTGACATTCTATCTAATGATAGAGTCGAAAATACAACCAACTTCAAAAAGCAGTGGAGTAGAGAGCTTGAAACAACCGTTCAATGATTCAGGATTAGAGCCTCAATCATGGTCCTAAAAATATACCATTCTAACACGACACCGTGTACAGTCCTAGTAACATAACCACACCTTCGATGCAAGGCATTCAACTTAGCGTACACTAAAACAGAGACATCTCGCAATTGTTCTACCAAAATTTCAAAGACAGCCAAACAATCACATCTGAAAAAGAATATATCGTGCGCGATACGCACTTGAAACAGGCGCACCTCTCACTCAAACAGAATACCTTCTCCTCAAAATTACTTAACTGATAGACAGGTATCGATAAACTTGATCAGGTTTAACAGCAAGGAACTTACAGGGTGGAAGTCCTAGGAATAGCTGATATGTGGAGGTAGTTCTGTCCCGCTTTATAAAACATTGCACAGTATCCTCTCGAGGTCCAGGCTGCAGCACGGGGCACAGTATCAAAGACTGAACTGAAATCTATCATAAATGCAGATGTAACCAGAATTATATACTTTCGATAATCCTTTTCATCCTTAAAAAGTCCTTACACTTCCTAACTGGGTTTTGAAAACAGAGAACAGCCACTCCACCTCTCCACATCGTAGCAAAAACTACAGGACTTCACCTTTTGTAATAAACCAAGAGAGCATTCTCCCGAACTCTCGTGTCAGTTAGGGTCCGTTCAACATCAAAAAGATTAAGACTTTACGATTAGAAACATAGTTATGCCCTGTTTCTTAAGGGGCGATCACAAACGAGTGAAGCTTTCTTCAACGCTCTAAACATGCAAAACCTCAGCAAGATTGCTATGAAAAGACTCACGTTCTTTAATAACTGTTAGCTCCAAAAACTATAGAAGTCCCGGCTTCTTTGCTCTAAATTTCAACATCAGACTAATGAGTTAACAAGATCCATCCACAATCTCCTCGCATTCGTCTTGAACTCTCACCTGCTTCAAAGCAACCGGAAACGTCAAACGTCCCGATTGCTCTGGCGCCCGAACCAACTCCTTCGTTACCTCCCTCCACGAGCTACAAACAGCTGCGCATGCCACCACGTGCTTCCGGCTGGGCCACGCACTCTCACTTGCCTCCACTCTCTGAATCACATCCCTCAACAGTTCTGGTGGCATGTTCGCCCAGCAACTCTGCTCCACAACAGGTTCTGAGTTCAATTGCGACTCATCCAGCACCATTCCGCTCGACCTTCCCCTGTGATGGTGTGGAAACTTCAGTTCAAAACTCCGCCGAGAGATTCTCCCTACACCACTCTTCATCTCCTGGGACTCCCGCATCAATTTCTTAAGCGGCGTCATGGAAGAAGACTTCTGACTAGACATAGTCCACCCGCACAACACAACCCCTCTGCACCTCACCTCACACCAGACTCCCTCCAACGATATCTTCTGAAGAATCAGCCACAGCTTGAGCCATTTGCGTAACCCACGCACCGTCATACACTTACTGGCCTACATCCATACCTCATTGTACGCACCTGCAGCCTGTTGCGATTACCGCCACGCAGTACTTAGGAAGTAGTTGCTGACGAAATCTGTCCTCGGAGCTCACCTAAACAGAAGTAGGAATCACATAAGACCAGCATACATGTTCCTTCAGCCCTGCAATCACACCGCCGATGAACTCCTAAGATGCCATTCCTTCTCGACACCGCCTCGCTATTGCACGCATCACAGAACATAAACCACGCTTTTATGGCTCTCAATCTCCCTTGCTAACTTTTTTTCCCCCCCCCCCCCCCCCCCCCCCCGCAGCAACCCCTTCGCCCTGGAACTCAATTCTTGTGTCCACGATAAGCGGCATCCTAACTACAATATTGACTGTCGCCTTCAACGATCCCGGTCGATGTGCTTCTTCCACACACCCTAGGGCACCACCACCACCAAAAAAAAAGTAAAAAGAAAAAAGAAAAAAGAAAAACGAAGGTGGCAGCTCCAACCGAGCTCTCAATGGAACACAAACTCCAGAACTCCACTACAGAAGCGAACGCTCGCAAAGTATGGGATCGACCGAGTAAGGCAGAGACCGCACCTCCCTCACTCACAATAGCTTCTTCATACCGTAGCCTTCCGTCCATATCCGGACACCTCGAGCGCCAGGCACCACAGCTCGACGATGCCAAAAATCATAACCTGGAAAGAACCAGGTAGAACATCCCACCCCGACGTTACCGGGTATCACACAATCTGGTTAGGACCGGTTATTATACGATCTCGATGGGATCGAGTAGAACTCAACCTCGATGTGACCGGGTAGATATGATCGGGTAGGACCGGTATGTTGCTTTTTTCTTCTTCTTTTTTTCTTTTTTCTTTTTTTTTTTCTTTTATATATATGGATTCAAGAACAGACAAGCAACACTCCAATGCATCAAGTAAGAGTAAACGTTATGATTTGATTTAATAAAACATTATTACAAAATATATTGTATTATAATAAGAAGAATAATTTAACAATTATCTTTGTTGATCAGATAGTATTTTAAAAAGATAAAATATTATTTTAAGATATTAAAATTATATTTTTAGTTTAAATATTTTACATACTAATATTTTCTATTCACTTGATATAAAAAATAAACATTTACTTAATGTATATCAATACTTAAGATCATTAGCTTAAGTATTTATAGTATTTTTATTTTTGTTTTTTTAATGTAATTTCATAATTTCTTCATTATTCTAAAATTATTTAGATTAAAACTAATTTCTAAATTTATCATCTATATCTTTAAAAACTCATTATACTTAATATCCATCTTTTAGTTGCATACAAAAGTTTCAACCACTCTGACTTGTATACTTTTCCGAAACCTCCTTCACTTATGCAATTTATAATTTCAAGAATTTTTAAGTTTGATAATAGTTTTGATTAATCCAATTCTTCACCTTCTATGTAGTGTAAGTTTTCCAACTTTTATAATAAATGCTTTGCTAATCTATAATTTTTATAATCTCTTTTTGTACTTGCATGAATCAATTCATTTAATTATTGGAGTAAATATATATGTTTATGACATTAACTTTCTTTCTACAAAGAAGTTCTACAAGGAGCAGCCATCATATTTCATGAATCTTCTTATTCTTCATCTTAGTCTTGATAGATGTTGTTGATAGAAAGCATCAACTCTTTCTATTGCATTTGCAAGATTCTTTGCTGACTTCCATGTGTGTTCACTAATATCATATCTATACCAATGAATAAGATATTCCAATCTATTTTGGCCCACATTAAATTTAAGACTTCAACTTTTAAAAAGTCAAAAGTATCAAGTCATAGATGATAACCATAATTGGAAAAAAAAGTATATATTAAATAAAAGAATGTACTAAATTATTGTATGTAAACTTTGCTAATGGCAAAAAAATTGTCCAATCCTGTTGATGATAATTGATGGTATATCTCAAATAATGCTCAAGAATTTGATTTACTTATTCCGTTTGCCTATTAATTTGAGGATGAAAAATCAAATAAAAATTTACATCCATCTTTAAAATCTTAAAAAGGATTTTCTAAAATCTTGATACAAATTGAGTCTCCATATCCAATATAATATCTTTGGACAATCTATATTAGCAATAGATATTGTCAAGAAAAAGCTTAGCTATTTTATCACTCATGATAAATTTTGTATATGGTATAAAATATACAATCTTGATAATATGATCTACTATAATAAATATAGAATCATAGAAATTAGAAGATTTGTGATAAAATCCATAGAAATAAAAAACCATGGTTGTTTTGAAATAAATAATAGCTGAAAAAGTCCATAAGGTCAATAGAAAGTAGTTTCTTATATTTTTTTATCTTAAACAAATATCAAATAATTATGTAAAGTCTTTAATTGCCTTCTATAATTGAAGCTATTAAAAATTACTTAATATTAGTTCTAAAGTCTTATTGTATCGAAAATTTTGGCTGTTGGAAAGTTGTGACAAGATTCAAGAGTATGTAATTATATTACCTTTTGAAATAAATAATTATCCCTTAAAATAGAATATATTATTTATTTTATTAAATTTTAATATTATCATATGACCTAGAAGAATTATTTTTGATATCATAAATAAGAAGATCAAAGGACATACTCAATTGAATTTACTTGAAAAATATTGAATCAATAGTCAATATTGTTTTTATTCTTTAAAGGTGAAAATGATTTGGCTTTAAAATAATTATTTTTTGTTGATCAAAAGATATATTTCTTTCTTTTGATGTAAAGTAAAAATATCTAAAAATAATATCTAATAAATCTTATTATTTTTTGTATTAATAAATAATCTTGAAATCAAATCTTAATAAATGCATGCTCAAATGGGCTTGGCAATAATTCAAGATACATGTCGACATGAAATACTTAAGGTTCTTGTGATCTTTATAAATGATGATTGGACTTGAGGTGCCTTTTAGATAATGACACTATTTTAAAAATGAATCCATGATTGCAAGAAGTTTTTTTTTATTGTGGATCTCATAGTTAATTTCAATTGCTAAAAAATTCTTAGAGTAAAAAGCTACTAGGTGGAGCTTGTAATTTTCTCTCATTTATAAAAAAATGACATTCATAATAAATTTTAATGTGTTTATTTTCATGAAGAATGCTTTGAAAAAATTAATACAATACAAAATGGTTGCAAAAATAAATAATGTCTTTAAGGCTTTAAAAGATGCTTGAACTTCATTGCTCCACTGAAGTTTTTCTTTATATGTCAAATGTATAAAAAGACTTACAATTTGAAAAAATTTATTGATAAAGATCTTATAATAATTAAAAAATCTTCAAATATATTAGACATTGCTTATTATTTTTGAAATCTTTTAATTTATGATAGTTTGAACTTTCTTAGAATCTATTATAAGACCATTGTTTAAAATGAACTATCTTAAAAAGTCAACTTGAGTATTTTGAAATTCTTACTTTTCTATCTTGGTATATAATCTTATACTTTTTAATTTTTCTAATATATGATAATTATGAACTTTATAATATTCAAGTAGATTAAGATGTCATCTAAATAGTAGATAATAAAATCATTAAAAAAATTCACAAAAGATATTATTTATTAGATATTAAAAAATATTTGATGTATTTGTAAATCCAAAAGATATGATATTATATTTGAAATACCTATATTTGATTTAAAACAAAGTTTTTATTCATTTCGTTTTTTTAATGCCTATTAGATTGTATGCTCTTCATAAATCTAATTTTATATAGATCTTTGCTTGATTCAGCTGATTTAAAAGTCTTAATATCAAAAATAGAGGATATTTATTCTTAATGGTGATCTTGTTGAGCTCTTGATAGTTCATACACATCTGCAAAGATCTATCTTTTTTTTTTACAAATTTAATAGAAGCCCCGACTAGAAGTTTAAAATGGTATATGAATTTTTAATCAAATTTTCATCAATGTATTCTTTGAGTACAACCAACTCATTATATAATAAGCTATAGATTGGTCCAAATAATGGTTGAGCTCTTTCTTGAAGATTAATGAAACAATTATAAGAACAATGCTTTAAAAGAATATTTACATTATTTTTTTCAAAAACATCTTGATAATCTTAATATTCGCTTGGAATGTTATTTGAGCTCTTTTTTCTATCAACAGTTGTCACGGGCATATAAATTTATCCCAATAATTACTTATATGATTAAGTAGAAGTAAGTAAATATAAATTAATTTCATAAATTCTTCTAAAATAGCTTTCTAGAAGCTTCATAGATGTAGTTTTGATTTTAGATGTGTTTGTAGGTTGGAAACTTAGTCAACAAGTTAACCACATATTGGTAGCTTATAGAATAAGTTAACTCTGTGTAGTAGCTTCTAGAACAATCTATCTATGTACCACACACATAGATAACTTGCCTTGCAAGTTAAGACATGTAGCTAGCAAAGTCAATAGATATTTGAGATCCTATAGAATATTGTTATGTAGCTTCTAATTAGAGAGTATATATAGAGGCAAGAATGAATCTTTCTTCATTCTTGTCAATACTTTTCTAGTCCTTAGTCTTATTCTAAGACTTTCTAATCTTTTTGTTTTTAGCAATAGCCATTCTAGTTTAATATTATATCACCTTTTGAGTGACTTTTTAGTTCTCTTCAATGATATAAGAATGTATCAAGGATTTTCTTTCTTCGAGATTTATATCTTTGATAGTCTGACAAGAGTGCTAATTTATTGTTCTTATCTTATTTTAGAAGTTAGTAGATAATCCCACTTTTATTGATGTATTTTGAAGGTTGCAAATTATTCATCTTTAAACAAAAAATCTTATTTTTTTAGCATTGATATTTTCCTTAAAGAGATGGGATTATCCTTCTTTATAGAAATTTTTATTAGACGTTGGGGATTATCCTCCTCTAATTTAATTTTTTGAATTTATTTGAGTTGTCTACAGAAGGAAAGATTATGGATGCTACTCTTGGCAAAAGTAAGAATAGATTTGCAACTATTGCAGATCTTCATGAGTTTGTCAATACTTTAAGAATAAAAATTTCATGTATTTTTGACGTGAATTATGGAAGTACTATGCCTATGCTTATAGAAGAAGTTTAGAGTCTATGGCAAGAAGTTATACACTTAAAGGAAGCAAGTAGATTGACCTCACAACCAAATCTAGAGACTTTTACTTCTACAAGTATAATGAGGATAAGAATTAGTATGCTTGAGAAGTTTGATAGAATAAAATCAAAATTTTGATGATTTTTATAATAAGTCAAGCTCTA